CCTCCCTGCCCCCGCTACTTCCGTATTTCAGCTGAAGACCAGGCTTTAGAAACTTTATTAGACGTTGGTGGCTGAAGCACAGCATGGTGGCCGGGGCCGTGACAGCCGTCCTGTCCTTGTCCTCCTCAGCTCTCCCAATTCTCCAACGCTCCGCCCAGCCCTCGAGGCAGGAGCCCAGCACCTGCAGCCTCCCTCGCCCAGGCCAGGGGCAGAGGGCAGGGCCCAGGCCCCGAGGCAGGGGCAGGGGCAGGGCTGGAGAGAGGTGGGGCTGCCTCCCAGCTCAACACTGGCCTTTGTGCTGAGGGATGGGCTCCCCTGACCCGGGGGCAGTGGGAAGGGCTTCCTGGGGGGTCTGTGGCTCTTCCTCATCCTCACTAGGCAGAGGGGGAGGGGGGCAGGACGAGACGGCAAAGGGGTCCGCCCCCCACTCTGCTCTGAGCAGACCCCACCTGGGCACATGGGGGCCCAGGGCACTGTCCCCCTCCCCCAAAGTATGCCCAGGGTCCTGGGGCAAGGGGCAAGGGGCAGCCCCCCGCAGCCCCCACTGGTCAGGAGGGACTGTCCTGACGCGGGGGCCCAGCCCAGCACAGCCAGGCTCCTCCCCTGAGGCTCGGTCTGCAAACCCCCAAAGAACACACACGGCCTGCAGGCTTTTCCTGGCTCCGTTTCTCTTAGAAACAAACGGAACAAGAAGACATGGCACCAGCGCCCTCAGCCTCAAATTGATAAACACCCAAACGCCCCCCGCCGCTCCCACAGCAACAGTAAACTCGTCTCTTTGGCAACAACACCTTCAAATCCTCCATCGATTCATTTGCTGAACAATAGCAGGTACAAAAATACCCCTGTGCTGCCCGCCCTCCCAGCTCCACCCGTCCCCTTCCCTGACCGCAGGACCCCCCCCACCCACTGACCGCGGGGGAGCCCCCACTATCTTTTGGCAGCCGGGCAGGGCTGGACTGTGCCCTCGGAGGGTACTGCCGACCGCAGCCAGTGGAGGGCACTCTATCCTGGGGCCAAGGGCAGGGGTGGGGCCAGAAGTCCCCCTTCTTTCCAGCTGTCCCCTTGGCTCCAGCAGGGGGACCCCCAGGCAGGAGTCAGCTCAGACCCTGTGGGGAGGGACAGCCATGGGTCTAGAGAGTCGGGGAAAGGGAAATACAGCCACAGACTTTGAGGTAAGCGTGGCGGGCCCGCGAGCCCAGGGCCTCTGCACGAGCAAGCCCACAAGCGGGCAGAGGGGCCAAGGGGACAGGGAGAGGCTGTCCCGGTGCCCATGCCGCTCCCTGGCCTGGCCTGGGGCCCAGCATCCTGCAATGCCCCGCAGGGGTCGGCAGGCAGGGCGT